GAAAAATCGGCTATTTTAAACTGCGCGCGGCGACGGATCAGGAGACATGTGGCAACAATGCGAGGTCAGCAGAGGAGTGTGATTCGCCGAACTGAGTGGGAGGGGACGTTTTCCCTCTGATCAACGCCGCGCGCGCAGTTTAAAATAGCCGATTTTTCCGACCTTCGCTCCTTTCCGCTCTTATAACTCGCGACCAAAACATTTCCCCAGCATGCGGTAAAGAGCCAAAGGGGCTACAGAGAGTCAGGAACAACATATCAGTTTTTCATCAAAATAAAAAAATGGCTTTTTTTTAAATCGGCCCAAACGTGAAAAAATAAGGGGTCTTTTTTGAGCCTTCCGGCGCTTTGAAGGCGATAACTCGAGCTGAAGTTGACAAAACCCTATGATGTTATACATTTTCTGAAAGCTCTCGTCACGCTGAATACGCTCGTCTAAACCGCGTTTTCCAACACTTCTTGGTTTTTGAGTAATAAATTCGCGAAAATTTTGCCGGTTTTTAACTTTGACTCCCCGCCGCGTCCCCCCAAAATTTTTGGGGGGCTTGAAACTTTGGGAAAAGATGGGGCATTGTTAGGTGAATGAATAGGGCAAGTCTCAAAGGTATCCGCCCCGAGCCCCAAATGGCCCATTTTGCACGTAGTCCTTTACCAGTATTTTTTGTGGTCCCCACTAGAATTTTCACTAAATTACTGGAATTTTTAAGAAGTTGTCCAATTTTTAAGTGTCAAAAGCTGGGTCATGCCGCCTTAGTTTGATCAAAAACTAGTTTATCCAATTATTGAAACGGAGCTGTGCATGTACAGGTGTCTTATTCCGTTTTGGGACAGTTTTCATTGCCTCTGTGGAACAGCATTTTGAAAATTAATGAAATTTAGGCATTCATAAAGAGCAAATGATCAGAGCTTGGGATTTGGGTAAATTAATCGCAGTCTGAAAGAAAATGGTTGGAGATAAGTTTGGAAATAATGTTGAAATGCAACGTAGCTATGGAGCTATTAAGGATAGTAAGATACTATACAGTGTTATTCAAAATTCACGAGGCAATTTTGCTGCAGTCCTCGAAAAAATTTTACAGTTAGTGTGAAAACCTCACAGACATTTTTTAACTTGGGACAGGTGAAATTGAAGGTGGTGAGTAAGAAGGCAATAATCTAAAAATTCCTTTGACTAAAATAGATAAGTTTACTTTCGGTTATAGTGAAACTCTTGTTTCACTCCTGTGAAGTCAATGTATCAAAGATGATTATAGTGCAGAGCCTTGATATCTTTGATTTTAATGGTATGCGGAGGATCACTCTTGACTTTCATGTAAGGAAAGCAAGAGGACTTGAAACTTCCATTTCTTTTAGTTACATGATATAAGCAGTAATTTACATATCGAAAGCCAATGAACATAACTGCCTAACGGACAATTTAAAGGCAAAAGTGAGTTAGCAGCTTCGCCACATTCTGCAGTATAAAATATGCAAACTGATTATTTTAGTTTTTTTTTTTTCAATTCTGTAGGGGAGTACTTTAATGACAATGTAATGTATGGAAAAATTGCAAATCTAACCTTAAAATTACAGAAATGGCAAAGTTTTCTCTTTGTTCTGCAGAATCGTCAGTTTGCAGATAGGTGGTACTGTTTGCTAGCAATCAATAAAATTGATCGACTTTCCTTGCAATTTTGCCATGAAGGGCTAAAACACTTTTAACATTTAGTGGGAGATTTTTTACCCGTTAACTACACGCAGCAGTGGTCATCGCACAGGGCCACGGTTTGTCTTTAAAATCGCGACATGTTGAGAGGTACATAAAACCGGCAAGTAGAACTGATATCGCTCCAAGGCACAGGTAACGCTCTCTCTCAGACATAGACTTACCATTGAGTTCAGGTTTGTGATAAAAGAACGCCCTCTTCACACAGCAGTAATAATTTAAGAATGGTCGCTGCAAGCACCGGTCCCGTCGGGCCTGTAAAAACTTTACAACACTGTATAGCTTTTAGTTACCTAGTTACTTTCCTCTGTCTCTTGTCCCATCTAATTCGTACAAAAGGTATTGCACGCAGTGTCTGTCTCTTACCTTATTTATGATTATTTGACCGACTGATTAGTATAGCTATTGAAAATAGCTCCATTTGGTGACCTTGACGTGATCAATCTATTCGAGTCAAAGTGTAAAATAAAGAATAAAAAGTGAAGTTACAATATTTGTGATGAAGAACACCTACAGGAGATGAAGAAGACGTTGCGCTTAGTATCTTAACAAGGGCTCATGCATATTGAATTTTTGAGTAGTGAATACAGTGAACGGTTAATTTCGCTTCCGCTTTCAACAGGATCCTAACAGGATCTACAACCGTTGCTTTGGAACGGAAAAATTATCTAAAAAAAATCTGTCAATGCTTATCCATATGAACTCAAAGGAAATAAGAGTCAATTGTACGCTCACTTCTTCCTTCCCAATGATTTTGTCCTACTGGTTTTTCATGTGGTTAGGGTTTATAATGAGGCAGTATATCTATCTATGATGAAATTCATGAAACGACCTACACAGTGTTCCTGAACTTCTTTTTCAAATGCGTCTCACTTTGCGTGAAGTTCTTAATGAATGTTGAAGTTTTTACAGGGTCGGCGTGGCGCAGCGAGACATACCACCAAAATGCCATGGTAGTGAACATGTTAATAACCTCACTTTAGACTTCAATAGTTCATTTTTGTGTCATTAGAGAGTGTAAATGTGCATCACACCTTGACCTTTATAAGCCCCAAACATGGTAGATTAAAATTTAAAATTGCTTCTTCATGTCATTTGATTGCAATTTTGTGGTGCTTATTTTTTCATTTTTAATTTGGAAGGGAGATCTGCTAATTTTGGGATCCTTATTAATGAAATCAATGACGAATTTTACTGTTCTCTCATTTTAGTTGCAACGTGAGCTTGATGTGGAAATCCTCATGATCAACATCAATGAATGTTTGCAAGAAAAGAAATACTGTAAGAACGAATCATGTACTAACTTCTTAAAAAAGAGCAACACTCCCTACCCAGTCTACACAAACACTTCATCCTTTGTTGGTATCAGAGCTGTTGTTAATCCTTTCTGCAAGTGTGAAGCTCTGGCTAAAGTTTGCTATAATGGTGGAACTCTTTTCAATGATGTGTAAGTTGAACGTTACAGTACTAATTTCTTCCAAATTATGAATTTCAATCAATCGTGAACTTATTTTCATTATCTTGCTCTTTTTTTTATAATATTAGGAGTATTCAAATTTTTCATAACTGAATCTGTTTTTAAATATTTTTTGTCCTCGATCAAAGGACTCTGCACACCTCTTATGGAAAAGTGCACCATGACGGATCCTTAATTTATATATTGTATTCGATTCTCCTCAAGATGCAGATCAAAAGTTATCATTGCACCAACTTTCTAAGATGCACCGTTTTCGCAAAAAACGGCCGAAAGGATTCAATTATTTGGCAACCATGAATCAAAAAGAACAAAGCATTCGAGAACAAGCGTCATGTAAATAAGGAAAAACGTAGAACGTGTTTGTCTTCTTATCTGTTCCTGCCGACTCAGGGGCTATCTCCTTCCCGCTCTTGTCCAGTTGACGTTCACTGTTTTTCTTCGACTTTCCTGTTCATATGCTCCTCAAGAGTCTGATTTGGATGGTCGAACAAAACGGCGTGCGGAATCCGAGATAAGACTGCCGCTCGGTGCTGGAGCTCCTCTAATTTCCTTGTTGACACAGAGCCTCGAGTTCACGTGAGTGCTGAAATGAGGAATCTTTCTGGCACTTTATCGCCGAGTAATTGAATTTTTTCGGCTGTATTTTGCAAAAACGGTGCATTGTAGAAAATTGGCGCAATGATAACTTTTGATCAGCATCTTGAGGAGAATCGAATGCAATATATAAATTAAGGATCCGTCATGGTGCACTTTCCCATTAAAGGTATGAGGGGTCCTTTTCCAGTCAGAAAACTCTTTAACTTACTTCATCATGTATTGTTATCCCAGTAACCAAGTTTTCATATCAGAAACTGTTGAAGATCTGATACTGAAACCGATACCGTCCTATCTTACACAGAAGAATCTTCCACAATTAGAAATGGTCAGAGTTGCCAAGTTGAGATTGTAGTGAGTGTGCTCCAAATTTTTCTGTTTAAGAAGAAAGTCAGAAATTACATGAACGGTATTGCAGGCATCATAAGATTGAGGGTGGTTATAGCTCTATGCAGGTGGAGTGGCTTGTATCACATTACTTTTTCTGACTACCTGTCTAGCATGCACACAGATGTTGACCTCATATTAGGGAAACGTTGTCAACAACTCTGCACTTTTGTCCTTGCAGTTCTGGAAGAATAGTAACCACTGTCATTTTTATTCTTGAAAAATACTATTTTTGGACATCCGTGTTGAGGAGAAGGGAGGGAGAAAGAGAGATAGACATACATTTAGTTCGGTAGGTGGGAATCATTTTCAGAATGATTTCTTGCATGATGTCATGTTGATGGAAAAATGTTGGCTAAAATTCAAAAGGTTCACTTCTTTCAACACATGTGCGTTGTCATAAAAATGTAAAAAACACAGGTGCATGATCAGAACATGTTTGGAAGTTGGACTAGTTTTTGTTAGAGCCAATTTAGGCAAGTCCTTTGCAATGAACTCTATATGATTTTCTGTCTCAGGTGCGAATGTCCAGAAGGTTTTGATGGTCCACAGTGTGAAGTGATGGGTGTTGGTTTCAATGGTAATGGATGGGCGCTTTACCCTCCATTGGGAGCCTGCTCAGATTCTCATATTTCAGTGGAACTTCAGCCACGAGAGAAGAATGGTCTAATTTTATATGGTGGTCCTTTTAATCATCATCGTTCATCTGCAAGTGCTCAAGGTATTATCCTTTTTCTCAAACAAAAATTGACTTTTCCTAGTTTTTAATTTGTCTTTATTCATTCATCAAATTCATCGTTGTGTAATTCCTTCTTGTACTTAACTAAGTACCATGAAATCATGCTAAACATGCACTATCTAAGTCAACAGCAGAATCCTTTTCAATTTTGATTATAATGCTGCTAACCTAAGGGACAGCATTTTATATGAAAAAACAGCGGTTGTTACGATCTGTGATTCTTATACTGCGCTCTCTCCTATAAGACGCTCAGTCAGGATAAATTAACAGAGCAATTGAGTGCATCACTGGCAGAAAAACAAATCTTGTGCCTTGATTTGTACCTTATGGAGTTAGATGGAATGGTCAAGTCTCCAATTATCTGCATGGAATTTAGGTTTCCCAAGACTGTACCCTAAGATGCTGTTACTGTATATTAGGGCTGTGCGAATATGGTTTTTTGATGTCAAATCGAATCAAATCGAATGTTTTGAAAAAGTTTCGAATTCGAATTGTATATTTTTAATTTTTATGTATTTTTGACCAAAACCAACCTGTGTTGGTCGAAGTAAAAATCGGATAAACAATTTTTTTTCTTTCCAACATTCAAATTTTGAATAAGAAAATTACTATTATGAAGAAAAACATTAATAATTAATCAATTCATTTAATTATCAAATGGTTTTGCACACACTTTGATTTGCTGGGGAAATAAAAGAAGGGAGAGAAAATTGTTTCCTCTAATTAAGGACAAGCAATTGATAGAACTATTGCGGAACATTAGAACTGCTGCTTATCGTCCGAAAATCCATTTTATTCAGTTTTACTTCACATCAATGCTGATCTTGCACAGACAGTCCAGCAACATCGCAAAGACAGGGGTGCTGCGCTGGGCAGAGGAGTATTGGTTATGGAGTTGTACCTTCGCCCATTTGTATGCCATGTTGATGACGTATTTGGTTGAACTCAAGTGGAGCAAATTTCCAATTGACCTGTCTAGTACGAGTGCGGTGCGCTGGATGAACCCATGAAATGTTGGCCTTTGTTTACCTAACCTCAAAACAAGTAGTTTGAACTTTGCGCCTGCTCGAGTTCTTCCTAGTACGTCATCAATGTGGCCGAATGTACGAATATTCGGTCTTTTTTTTAGATATTCGAAGTTTTTTCAATGTGGTTAGATAATTCGATTATTTGAGGTTTCTAAGTTCGAGTTTGAATCGAATATCGGAAAAATTATTCAAACTCGAATATTCGAGATTTTTGAATATTCACACAGCCCTACTGTATACCAAAAACCGTTTCAATGAAATTCCAATATTACTTCAGTGGCAGGTGCGTAGGTAGCATTACTGCTGCCCAGAAACGTACAACATACTCTTTGTTGCACTGTTCAGCAGAGAATGGCAGAACACAGCCTTCTCATGATCTATGTGAGGATAAAGCATTCGGCAGTTAATGTAGCAGCCAAGCAATTAATCAAACTTTACTTGTAATCACGAATGATGTTTTTAATATTAATTAATTGTAATGATCATCAATTTGAAGTATGAATCAAAATTACTTTGACCTTTCATGAAATTTTGAATTTCGGAATTTCTGTTGCGTTTGATCAAATGCGAGCGTTCAATAATAGCATGGCACTTGCCTTTAGTAGTGAAAAACTGTACTCAACAAGTAGTCAAACCCCTGAGTGTAGGTCCACTGCAGGGGCGCAGGTGTGCTGCGTTTTTTTGTTGACTAAGATTTTCTGTAGAGTTGGGCTGGGTATCCGGCAATTATCCGGATTGCCAGATTATCCGTCCGGATACGATTTTCGCTGGTATCCGTATCCGGCCGGATAATTACGATATCCGGTTTTTGGACCCGCTGGATAGTGCTTTAACAGCTGTGAAAATTTCGAGAAATTTTCGGTGATATTTTGGCATTTTTTGGCGCACTTTGAGTAGTCATGATAATTGTTCAACTTTTCGAAACTTGTAATCACCGGAATTAAGGACATCTCCCGCACATTTACACGATTGCAACGTGTCCCTTATTTCCGAAAGTTCGCGTGTTTCACTTTCAAAGACGAAGATGCAGGTAGAAGATAAAAAAAAAAAAACAATGCCACCAACATGTGCATGAGGTCCCTGTTGGTAACGTTTTTAGTCCGAATGTAAATCCACAATTATTGTAATGTCGCTGTACGCAGCTTGTTATTGCAGCATCAAAGCGCTGTTTTCTAATTTTGTCTTGTTTAGGCACACTTCTAATAATATCTCTCTTTCTGCACTTCAGATTCATCTTACACATCACACCATGAAGCCAATGAAAGCTATGCTGCTTATCTGCCAGGTCTTTTTTTTAGTTGGTATTCATTTTAGCGAGCCGACTCATAGCGTATCATTGAAAAATATGGAGGTTGTCGGAGCGAAGGCACATAGATCGTGGATGACGGTCTTGATGGTGTAATACACAGTATGCCTCTTGTCCAAAGCGTGAAAGCGGGAGATTTTTTTCCCGCGAAATCGGGAGATTTTTCTCGCGCGAATTCGGGATATTTTTCTCGCGCGAATTCGGGAAATTTTTCTCTCGCGAAATCGGGAGATTTTTCTCGCTCGAGATTGAGAGATTTTTCTCGCGCGAAGTCTGAAGATTTTTTCGCGCCAAAAAGCACTGTCCCGATCCGGCTGGATACAAAAAATCGACATCCGGATCCGGTGACGTGGAAAATCCATTTCGGCCCAACTCTAATATTTTGGATACTTTTGATCAGAGAGGTTGGCAGCACATCAAATATAAGGCAGGCAAGGAGGTGTCAAGAAACACATTTTGTGGTGATGGCATTTCAATAAGAGCTACCACTTTCCATTTTATAGACTTGTGAAGCGCAGAGGGTACATGCTTTGTTGTGGACAGACGTATCCCAGAGCGAATTTTATGAGGTTTAATTCACGGTCAGATTTTCTTGCAGGCAGTGTGTGCTAACATGTTTTTTTAACTTGAACAAATTTTAATTGTATTGGCAGGTAATTTATTTAATCTTAATCAAATTTCAATCAAACCCGAAACACCTTAATTGTACAGCTTTAGCAATTTGAAATGTAAAGTAAATATCAGCACTCTAAGTTGTAATCTAAAGTTTTTTGAGATTTACCAAGTTATTTTTTATTAACAGATTTCATCTCTCTTGAGCTTCAAGATGGTTACCCAGTTTTATTGGTCGATTACGGTTCTGGAACCTCTCGCCTAGCTCATAATCATATCAGGCTAACAGATGGACACATGCATAGAATTGACATTTACCTGAGTAGAAGTGTAAGTATGCCTTTCTTATATTTAAATGGTGTATCGGTAACAATCAATTCGTGACAGGCCTCAGAAGAGGAGATCTTAGCAGCAGGGCTCCGACGGTTTAGAAAACCAGGAAAGTTAAGGTATCACCGGGCCCGAGAAAAGTTGGGGAATTTTCAACACTAATCACTTAAACATATCACTGATATTCCAACTGCTTACGCTTCCTGATCATTTTTAAGGTTTGTCATCTTTAACTAGGTACTGAATGCTTTTTTCAACAAGTACATAATTTGATCTTTTAACAAGGAAATTTTGTCCAAAGTCAAGCAAATGTTAGTGTAGTCTTTTTAAACAAAATTGTACATTTTCTTTGAAGATCAGGAATAGACCAGGAAAGTCAGGGAATTGGAAAGTTTTGAAGTCTGGGGAAAGCGGAAAAAAACTGGGAAAATCAGGGAATTTGAAGGTATAGATATTATGACAGCCCTGTAAGTGCTTACAAACTCAAAATTGAGCTGTTGCCATGATTGCTGCGAGAACTGTTGAGCCAGCTCTCACACCCCCCCCCCCCCCNAGAAAAATACCTATAAATTGACCTAATTTTTCAATATGAAGCCACTATTCCTTGCTCAATTCAGAAACAACATGTGTGCCATTAATTTCTTTATTCCTCAGATTTGTAGCATTGCAATCATTGATACACATTTTTCAACTTCAGCTATCGGAATGTCTGTGGCTAATAACCGTGTATCGCTACCTGTCATTGTTTTAATTTCTGGTTTTTAAATCTTCCTTTTGAATTTCTAGAGCATTGAGCTTCAAGTAGACAATTGCAAACAGCCACCCTGTCTGAGTCTCACAACTCCAGAGGGTGCAAATGAATTCCTAAATATCAATGGACCACTTCATGTCGGTGGAACTGCTTTCCATAACATTAAGCTGATTGCAGATCACTACAACTGGACACATGCTCCAAAGAACATCGGATTCAGTGGATGCATCAGGAATATAACTTTCAACGAAAAAGTAAGTCCCTCCTCAAGCTTTGATCGCAGCCAAGATCGTCTCAGGAAAAGTATCATCCCTGCAAAGTTTCTTCTGTTTGATTTATTTTGTTTAACTTCAAAGACTACAGATGCACGTTTCAAACCCATGATTTGTGCGTAAAATCTATCATATCAACTATGTCAACACAGAATTCTCTCAGAACAAAGCATGACAAGTGCCAGATTTCATAGTGCTAAATATTTTTCTCTCAAATTTTCATCTAATCATAATCAGTAAATGAATCTGAATTTTTGCTTTTAACATGAAACATTTTAATTTCAAAGTATGTTGAAGCCATATTGTATCTCAACAGCCCATCAGTTTGGAAATATATTCCTAGAATTAACCGTCAAATTTAAGAACCTTGTCCCACCACAGGTTACAGTAATAACAAATTCAGTGTTTTACGCATAATATGAGTTCGCACCAAGAAAGAATCGGAAAACAAAGCACGGATTCGGACTCAGCACACAATTTCAGACAGGAATAATGTATTATCGTGTGAAGCAGTTGGCAGGCTCTGTGATTAAAAAAGTGACCATAGCAAAATGAAATCCCCTTTGGACACACCCACCTACATGAACGATTTGTCTAATTTTTTTATTTAGGGCCGAAAATAAACCGTACGTTAACTTTCAAACTTTCAACGCAATTTTCTGAGAATCACTGACTTTTCATGGTATTTCTGGGTTCTTTTAGGTAAATATTTTGTAATTTAATCGGTGTTAAGGTACTGAACTTATACGGATAGATTGTCAATGAAGTTTCTCATCAGGATAAGCATTAACTGCTTTTTGTTTCAGCCTTTTAATCTGGGAATGCCAAGTTTTGCAAAGAACCATGATGCCAGCTGTAGTTTAGGCATTGCAGGTGCTGTATCATTGGGCATTGATGCTAGTTTCCTTTTAGCTCTTCTTGCCTGTCTAGCTGTTCTCCTTATTCTGCTTGTCGGAGTAGTCGTACACCGCCGCAAAGCAGACGAAATGCTAAAAGATGCAGATGACATTCGGGAGAACATCATCAATTATGAGGACGAAGGAGGTGGCGAAGGTGACATGACTGGCTATGACCTAACTGTTCTCCGCCTTGGCTATGATGACGTACAAGGGAATGGAAAGTTACCATACTCTGCAATCTCTCCCGGTGAGGTTCCTGATATTTGCGGGTTCCTGGATGGCAAGAAAAGTTCTGTTGACAATGATCCTGAAACAGGTACGTTATTTTTTCATGGCGTTCTTATGGGTATCTTTCCTCATAGTTGTGCAACTTTCCTGTATGAAGTTGGTGGTAAGTGAGTGAACTAAGTACAGAAAAAGTTCTTTCAGCCAAATCTATCAGCCAGCTAGCCATGCTGAATGTCAGCTCATAGAACTAGCTGTGCCATTATTTGTGGCGGAGGGGGGGGGGGGGAGATTTATTGTTTTTAAATCAACCAAAGCAATAATTGTATGGTCTTGACCCATGCCATGGGATGAAAGAACAACATAGTCAAAACAATTTTAAGGGGCTTGGAAGACGAGGCGCATAAGTGCAGTTTTTATTATTTTGAAAAAGACGAGTTTGAAGCTCTGGATTTTACTCCGACACCTTCATACTACAAGCATAACAAGCTTTGGCACGCAGCTGAGGCAGGTTGGCTCTAATCTCTAGTCTCGAATTTCTATAAATGCACTTATGCGCCTTGTCTTCCAAGCTCCTCAATTTAACATTACCTCTTGATGCTCTTAGATCCTGTTTGGAAAACCATACCAGACTCTAAATAACTTATAAGCGCCTCTTTATAACTTAAGAGTGGAGGTTCAAAAATTTCTCATGAGTAAAATATTGTCGCTAATATGAAAGGGCAAATCTCCCTTGATTCTCTGGTTTGTTGTGCTATTCTGTAAGTGCCGAGAAATTGATAAAAATACCTGAATTTTCCTATTTTTTTCACCTCTTAAATATCCTCTTAAAAACCAAAATCAATAGTTGACTATCATTTATAGGTCCCTTTGATGATGTGAGATACTATGCCTATGAAGGAGACGGTAGTACAACTGGCTCGTTATCAACCTTGGCATCAGGCACAGATGAAGGAGACTTAAACTTTGAATACATTTCCAAGTTTGGGTCACGATTCCGTAAACTAGCAGATATGTATGGCGATGACCCCAGTGACGAAGAGGATGACAATTTCCAACATACTGGTTCGGAGTCTTGGTGCTAATCAGACTACCCTTTCAGTTTCCGCAGCGAGTGATTCGATTTTTCAATTCGAGGTAACATAGTTGTCAGGCGAGAGATTTTCAGTTTACCCTGCCTGATCTCTGTAATTTAAGTTGACCAAAATCTTTAATAAGTCATTCTAATCTCTAACTTCGATGCAGGGTCCTTATATGTACTGCTTATCATAAAACACTCAGAGAGAACAGATGAAGAAAGAAAGGATTTTCATTCAGTTCATTTATAGGTTTGTAGTGTGATGATAGAGTTCATTTTGATCTCCATGTTTTTTATTCATAGCTCATAGACAACCTGCAAAAGATTTTTTTTTTTTTAAGTGATCACAACGCCAGTGGTAGATCGAAATCTTTTGAATTGTAAAACCTTCACTTGGTCATTTTAATTCCTTATGATAGCAGGTTACAGACGTCATAAAGTTCGTAGAGTGCCTGTGAATTCTCTTTACAGTTTTTGACTTGTCTCAAACTCAGTTTCCAAGAGGAACTAGTTTTTGCATTTCAAATGTAATAGTTTTGTTGTATTTTTTCTGTTCAGTTACCCACAAACTTGTTTCTGTTTTTATTGAGTTGTATCTGCAGCAGAATTGCATAATATTGCATGGTGGCAAAGGATTTGTGAATCCACCACTTCCATTATGACTGATGGCAAATTATGCAGTTTGTGCAGTGCGACGATCAGAGCACCAAAACAGCTCATTGGTTGTATTGTTGCTGTTAATCACTGTTGCGTCTTATTGGCAGTACCACTCCGCCATTACCCCCTTTCAGGACTCGTCCTTCTCAGGATTCTGCTTTTATGCTGAGATGCTTTGAAATGAGGTTGATCTGTGAGGAAATTAGAAGTAATGGGTTTCTTGTTTATGTCATCAATTTATGTTCAAAATAGGTCCACTTGGATTTCAAGTGAATTTTTTGAAAATTCTCTTGAAATGCTCACTTTAAGTGTCAGAAGTTAGAACCGCAGAGATTCTAAAAAATCTTGACCCAGCATATGTTGCTTGATGCTACCATTAAGTTAATGCTCACATTTTTTACATCTTTAACTTTAAATGCTCCTTTTTCGACCATACTTCAATTTCAGTCAAAGTGACTTTTTTTTTTTTTTTTTGACGTGCTGAAAGAATCCTTATTTTTAAAAAAATTCTCATTGATTTCTAGCACTTGTCCATCAGTGTTCATATGGGAAGAAAAATTACAAGGATCCACAAGGAAAAAAATAACAAGGTGAGTTTAAGTTGTGTCTCAGCATAACCAAAACTGTTCACCGAATTGTGTTCACGAATTAAAATTTTATTCCGTCAGTATATTCAAATGTGCCTTTTGACTGTTCAGTTTGACAAACGGAGATTCTTGAAGTTTGTAGGTTGCGCTTTAAATCTTTGGGGACCTCTATAACAACTGTATCAATGAGAATGAAAACACAACAACTTGGAAGAAGGAGAATGTTCCTGAGACACAAGAATTTGCACAGTAAGTGAAGAAGTTACAATAAGAGAAAGATTTTTGGTGGAAAGGACAAGTTCTTAGGACAAGTTGCCTTAAGGAAAAGCCTTTTCTCAAAGTTACCTAGTCACTCATCGTAACAAGTCCCCTATTGTGCAGTATTTTGTGTCTCCTGATTATTTTCATTTTTCCAAGTTAGCGTGTTTTCATTCTCACAGATTCAGATATGTTCGCATCTAAATGCAAATTGTGATCCATGCCTAAATTTGATCAATCCACAAGAAATGTAAGTGCCATCTTTAGATAATTTTTGTTGTCGATCACTCAGCTAGTTAATTTTCCCGGGTGACTCCAAGCAGTATTGTGTTCGTCAAAATCAACAGCAGGCTCCGTCAAATGTAAACCGAGCTCCCTAAAACTTAGAGACTTAAAATTCTAACACAAAAAACAGTCTGAAAAGTGGAAATAGTCCTCTTAAACTTAGGTCCTTAAGTCAAGCAATGGTGCTAATAGTTACTTGTTGCCTAAACAAAATTTTCTCCATCATTCCTGCCATATGCCATTAATTTAATTTAAATTATCAGAGTTTGTAGGGACTTTCATTTTTCAGCAAGTGGTGAAGTCACAGTAGTAGGTAATTTCTCCACGATTTTTATTGAAAATTGAATTTTGATATTTGTTTTAGGAGTTGTTAAAACATGAAGGTTTGACTTTGGATCCCCCTCGCGTGCCCTCCAAATTTAAAGTCTGACATTTTGGGGGACAAAGGGCTTGTGTGTGAGCTTTCAATAGACAAAGTTTGAAGAATTTTGAAAGAGGGGGAGGGGTAATTTTGGTCATTTTTGCATCATGCTCTTTCAACAGAGATTTTTCATTGTTTTTGTAGTCTCTTGCTATATGATGGTAACTACTTAACTTTGTATTGAGTCAAAGGAGCTGGCAGCTGGAGAAGAGGTGTGGGTAAAGTGCAGTCTTTCGATAATTTTTAAGATGTGTTGAGAATCTTGTTTGGCCTCTGAATAGTTCCTGAAATATTTAAAGAGTTATATCAGAGTAAAAATGCCGTCCAGTGCCAAAGCCTGTAGGCTCTTTATTTTTAATTTGAAGTGAAAAAAGGATATTGTTGTAAAAAAATTATTTCTAAGGTTGGAAAATGATTTCATTGCTAATGTGAATTGAAATTTATTTCACCTTTATGTAGCATTATTTTGGCTAGTACCTAATTTGAATCATTGTACAGTTGTAGTTTAAGTAGTTATACCGACTGCGATATTTTTAATTATCATTCCAAACTTTGTAATTCCTTTTATTATTGTTCATAATTGTAAATACTCATTTTACCCAATTTTTTACACTACTTTGTAAGATATACATAATTTTCAATTCTTCAAACCTAAAGCACTGTTGATTGTTTAGATATTTTATGTTGCCATCTTGCAGAGTGAGTGACTGTTACGCCCTAGATTATTAATCAAATTATCATGACTAAGCAAGTAAAAAACTCGCCCAACGAAGTATTTCCATTAGCATAATAAGTTTAGATGTGGAACTTACGCTTAAAAGATTCTAACTCTATCATAGGAAGATTTATTTTATTTTATTTTATTTTATTTCCGTGAAACAGATGTCAGTAGTTTAATTTAAAAAGTGGTGATTAATGGAGATTATTATTATTATTATTATTATTTTTTTTTTTTTTTGTAATTTTTAATCATTGAAATATTCTCTAGATTTCTAGCATGGAGAAGTAGTGACAACATTTTCAGGAAGCCCCTCTGACTGCTCTTTCTCCAACTTGCAAGGCTCTATTGTGTGTGCAAATTGGAATCTAAATGGCTAAGTAACGAAAAAGTATCAAGGAGGGAGGGGCTGTGAATGCTCATGATGAGATTTATTAAACAGAACTCTTTGCAATCATATCATTGGGCAGGGAAAGAGGGGAAGACATTGCGGTGGTATCTGAATGGAATGTGCTTTCAAGGAGTTAATCAATATTAAGAAAGAAGAATAATTCACTACAATCCTAACAGAGATTCGCAACATGCAGGGATATAGCATAATTTTTCATGAAATGAGATGAAATCTTTTGAACTTAAAAACAATTTTAGCTTCCATATAAAGACTCTCTGACGATAGAAAAATGTATTGATCTCAGGGGGAAATATGTTAAACGTAAAGAATGAATGCAAACAGATCTATTGAATGCAATTGAGACCATTGATTGGAGGAGGGTCAGGTGGTCCCTATTGTTAAAGTAAGTTAGATACCATTTGTTTCCAGATTAGTTATTTCACTTGAGTAGTTCAGGGCCAGTTTTGATCAGACAATTATGGCTAAATCTTGTCGCTGCCATTTCCAGGCAGTGTGGATGTCTAAATGAGAAGGGTATTGTGAAAGTGGCCTCTGCATTGTAACACTTGTATCTAATCTGAATATAATCCTCTGACAGTGCCTTTTCTTGTTTGTATCATTGTATGAAAAATGTTTCATTAAGCTGTATATATTTTTATATGTGAAGGAATTTTCCATCTCTGTGAAAGTTAAAAGGATAACAGAATGACATGAATGTGTCTATTGTTGACAGAAGTGCTGTGTGAGAAGAGGTTTCAATATCTCTTTTTCATTGGATTACATTTTGCAGTGAGGAACCACTATTTCTTGCCCATTTTAGAAACAGCACACATACATTGGTTTCCCTATGCAGATATATGCTTTTATAGGAGAGCCAGAGATAGTGGTTCCTTTTTGCAAAATGTGATCCTTTATTCTGTCACTCTGATACATGTGGTGTAGTTGGACCATTAAAATTTTCCTGAAAAGGAAAGAAAATTTCTTTAAAATAGCTAACTTCGTCCATTGAAACAAGTGCATGAAAATTCAATGCAAAATCTCGTTTTCCCGGATTGACTGCTCAAAATTATGATTTTGTGATCATATTTTGATATTTGATACATCTAAATTGAAACTTTCCTCAAGATATTGAATAAAATTGTACAATCAATAATGTTAATCGAATCTCAGCAGAAACATTCTGCAACGAAGGACTGCTCGATCTCTGTCACTGCTGTGAAAATTTAACAGTGAATATAAAGAAAGTCCGTTAATTTTCTTGCAGAATAACAATAATCAGTTGCAAGCCTTATTTTCCGTATGAACCCATTATTACTTAGTCTCATTTGTAAGTGTTTTTAATCTTCTTGAATGAAGTGGATAATCTGGAGTTATCACCTCAATTTTTCTGGTGAAACCTCCTAAAATTTAATTACAAAATCGAATGAAAAAATGGGTAGATTCAAATGAAACGTTTGGAGAGAGGGAGGATCACCTACAAACGCCTCATTAAATTTTATTCAATATCATCATGAGCGTTTCATTTTAGATGTATTAGAAATCAAAGTACGACAGTAAAAATATTATTACTAGCAATCAATCTGAAAAAAACGAGCCTTTTCATGCGCATATTTCAACAGAGGAAATCAATCTTTCTAATAGAATATTAAGGATTAAATTGAGGAAATCGTTAATTCTAATTAAACTGTGTTACTTCAACATATACCTCGTTCTGCACATGCGTTTGGGTACTAAACCTAAGTCCTAGACCTCATAGCTAAAAGAAATTCTTTAACAAAGAAAAAAGTGAATATTTAAAGTTACTGGATTCCACCCATTTGTGGTCGTTAAAGATTCCCTGTGTACGGCGTATCAACAGGAAAGTTGAATATTTTGACTCCGAAACCTTAAATTGTGGCCGAAAATGCATGAGAGAGGACCATGTGCAAGTATACACACCTTTTTTTAAAGCTTTTCAAAGTAATGAATTCAAAATAGCATAATTTTATTCAATATATTTTTTTTTTTTCCATAATTCCAAGTTTCAAATCAACAAAGAAGCCTCAATCCTCAAGACTAAGTAGTGTTTGATTCACTTTATGTCTTGAAGTCGAAACAAACAGATGCATTGTTTACTGCAATTCTAAACGTCGCTATTACCTTGAAATCATATTTTGTATTATTATTTCCATATATTTGTTTGTTAATGAGTCCCTCTTTGAATCCCTTGTACAGATACTTCGGCTTCTGTACCAGCGTACAACTTATTACAGAACTGTTTTCATTAACCTATAGGTGCTTTCCTCTTGTGCTACTCATGCCCATCATGAGCTTAGTGCACATGAAATCATAAAGCTTTAATAGTATCACAGCATTATTTTTGTACACCCTGAAGCGAATATCTTAAGCCCCTTTGGAAAATCTAAATTCTATAGAATACTTAGAAAAATCTCTACATTAATTTTGAAATTTTTATTTTCTAATGTGTCAAGTAAGTATAGCAATCATTTGTCCAGTTTTATGGTCCTTTAATTTATTCAATGAAGTATAAACAGCTTAGGAGCTTATCTCATTGCTTTGCTCCTCATCAGTTAAATTAATTTTATTGACTCTGTATCATTAGTGTAAGTCAAAATCATTTCAACTCCTTGTTTTTGAATTTGTAATTAGAATCAGTTTCTTAATTTGTTGGTTTAAAACAACTCGTGTACCACTAAGGACATTAACATTAATATCTATAATATCTATCTCTCCTATCGGCACCCAAGCCCTGAGAATATGTTAAGTATTTCCTTTATTCATCTTCCTGCGTGAAATGTTTATGCCTTGTGTACTTAATTGTGTCAGTGTGACAGGTTTCTTTTTCACCAATTGAACAGCTATAAGTGAACAGTTATGTTGTGACTTAGTAGGGGCTCTAATACCTATGCATTAGTCTCAATAATCCTTGTAAAGAAATTAACTTTCTCAATCAAGGGACTTAATGTACGTAATTTTACCAAATCGTTTGTAGTTTTAAGTGCCTTCCAGAATCAATCTCTTATGATAGGTTCATTTGTATGGATCAAATGTTGTTTACATTGTAATGCTCTATTTTACAATAATTTGAATTATTGCGATTGTTCACTAAATGATAAACGACCAATTCTTTAATGATTGATCACTGCTTTCAATGCTCTTTCATTTTGATGTTCATAAAAATTTGAAGTTCAGACAAGATAGTGGCCTTTAAAAATGATTTATTTAAATTTCTTGCAAAAAATTTGTCTTAAATTATCAGTAACTTATCTTTAATTATCAGTAAACATCAGTAACGTTCAGGAACGCTGCATATTGATACATTGGCTCTTTTTTCTTAATTTACCCCCTTTAATCTTAATGTTTGTTAACTTGTGTGTTTCCTTTAAGCGGTTACTTTCATAGTCTTTTATTCATCTATTGGAATGTGCCTTTTGTGATTTTTTTTAATTCCATGTAATTTTCTATCCTCAACATTTTGTTCCCCCTAACATTCCTTTTTCTTTGGCGAGCATTTTTTGAAAGGGTGAGTCTCCAGCTCATCTTGATGAAATATTTTGTCTTACAGTTATTCCTGGTTCATCTACAGGGTGACCCAGGAGACCCAAGTACGAATTTTGAAGGAATTGATTCTTTGGGTCAAAAAAGGACGTTTTTGTGTTACAACTTTTTTTCCAATAACGCTTTCCCTGGGGGCCCCGTTATCACCATTAATCCCCTAATACTCCCTATTATCTCAAAAACGATGAGTCCCAACGAAAAAATGCAAGACATGTTTTCCCAATATTTTTCAACGCTGAATCTAGTGGTGCCGTCGAAAATCAATTTTTGTTGCTAGAAACCATGATTTTGGCCACTTTAAGGTTTGACACCCCCCTAAACCCTCCCTTAAAATTAGTTTTTCCTTTCTGAAGGTGAAAAATGAAAGGAGCGCTAAGAATTACCCCCAATTTTGATTAATATTGGTTGATATACATTGTCACAGTGTTGAGAAGAAACTGTGTGTTTTCTTCCAACTTTGGGGGGCCATGGCCCCCAGGGAATTCGTTTTTGAAAGTAAAAGTTATACCTCTAAAACGTATTTTTCTTACCCAAAGCCTCGATTCCTTCAATATTCGTACTTAATTCTGGGACCCCTTGTATTTTGTCTTTTTTATTCGTGAGGTGCCAGAAGTCAGCGATGGCCTTAGTGGCTTAAAATCAAGTGTTCATCAGACACTCCCGTCTAAACCATTTTTACAGAATGATTTGTGCTGTTGAGATTAATTTATTTTCCCCCGATGAGAGTGAGTACTCAGTAGATATGAAATGAATAATCAGAAATACTTCTGGTATCAGGATTGAAATCTTTTAAGTGCAAAAGATTTTTGATTATAGCAACCCAGAACCAATTTTTGCGTTATCACTTAATGAATTGGTGGATGCAAAATGCTCGGTGGATTTTTCAAAGTATCCTCTGACCAAACGAGAATGTAGAAAACAACGAAATCGTAATAATATTGAAAAAGAGGATTTTTGGATTTGCAATATGTACGCAGAAAAGATAGGGGCATTCTTCCTCTGCGGAAATGAATTTCTATGTCCACTTTGTCGACGAGGAAAAAATTTCAATTATCAACCTGCAATGCTCGCAATTCCTTAAATGAATCACATATTGCAGAAAGGGCACTATTGCAGAAATGTTAACTGTTCAGAAAATGCAAAAAACTGATTTGAGTGAACTATAAGCTTTTGGAAAAAAAATGTTCGATGTTTTCTTTTGTCCCCCAAGTAGACTGACAATTTCCATAAAAATTTTTTACATGATACTCTTTCTGGGTTGTAAATAATGACACTTGAAGGAAGAGCATTAGTGCCCTTTCTGAAATACATGGGGGAAGGAGCCATAAAGAGTGATAGAATGAAGCCAGAAAATTATTTTAGCCCTCGTTTTTCATCTCAAATGTATGGCAATGATGCATGTCTATAGCGGAAGTTGGAAATTGTACATCTCCATTGCAACGTTTCAAAATTTCTGCTCTCTTTTTATACCATTTTTTTAAAGAGAACTAATAGAGATTTTCCCTTGAAATTTTCCGAAAACAATCTTGATGGTGTGAAGAAAGTGTACACAAAATTTTAATAGAGAATACTTAAGAACAAAAAAAGAAGACGAAATAAAATTGGCAATGTCGCAATTGATGGTATGCGATTTCGAACTTTCACCATGTGGTTTGCCCGTAGCTATGTAAATTTTAAAAATATTTCTGGCTTATTTCAAGTCAAGAAATTTAAAAAAAAAAAAAAAATGTATCCTTTGAGGTTCAATAGCGTAGTAATCTTCTACCTACTTCCTCATCCAACCTGTTACGGGCTCCTCTCACTTCCTACACTCAAGGTTCAATTCTCACTCCTTTCATTTTCAGCGTGAGTGAAGCGTGTAGCGTGATCACTGTCGTTTTGAAACGCAAAACTAACCTCTCAATCGTATCAAAACAAAACAAACGACGAGTTGCCGCTGCCAATTCGCGCGCACCCTGCAGTGGGCATGTACTGCAGAAACGGCACTATATTACTGCAACAGTGCCCTTTCTGCTCTATGTGAGAAACATAACCCCTGTCAAAAACACATAAAAAATGCGAATATAGTGCTCTGTCTGCACTACAGGGTGTGTCTACATAAACTAATGCGAAAACCGCAAAAAACTCAATTTCGAAAAAATTGTCGATTGTGCCCTTTCTGTAATAGCTGATTCAAATATACTTTCCAGCTCTCACCATTCCATTTTTCTTCAATCAATATTCTATGACACCATCACTGATTTGTTTCAAAAAATGTTTTTGTACTTTTGTCTTTATTAAGATTTTTTATTTTGTCGTCACAAGACTGAGAGGAGGAAAATTTAATCCTGAGACTTCTAATTACTGTTTTATTTATTTATTTTTTTGCTCTTTTGTCATGATCTCAGATATTGTTTGTGATGGCTGTTTTGCCTAGTTTCTTTCCTTTCAAGACTGAACCGAAAAAGTCGTTTTTACGGTTGCTTTTGGTACAAAGTGGCATTATTGACAAAGGAGAAAGTCGCTGTGGACATTCACTTAATGCTATTCCCTGCGTACTTCGCTCTTAAAAAAAAAATAAAATCTAGTATAGAAAGGAATCAGAAATCTGAGGAGGCATTCACCAACTTGGTTGTAACATACTTGGAAGCAGATACAGAAAGGAACCAAACCACAGCTTAAAGTCAGGCGGGTCCTTCTCTTCAGCAACCTCTTTTTCTAAAACTGTTCTCAATGTCAAGATTTTGTTCCATCTCTTATTTATTATTAGACTCTGCTGGGAGGGGAAGTATATACTCCGTTATCTTTAGGGACCAACCTTTTCAAACGGTTTGAAAGACTAAAGCATGCCAACCCCCTCCATGTTGACAAAAAAGTTAGCTTTTCATGAGGCAATCTTTCTATTTTCATACATTAAGTACTTTCCTCGACCAAAGAAAAAAAAATGTACTTTCATTTTAAGAAGGAAACAACCCTCTGATTTTCTGAAGGGGCAAGTGACTGGAGAACTATAGAACTGGATGATTGCCCTTGAATGATGTAATTTTGTTCTAGTTCTAATTCTCCTGTGCCAAATTATAATGGCTTTGCTCGTCTCTGTTGCTTTTAGTCCCATCCCATAGTAATTGTCTCCCAAAGAAAATCTTCGTTTTGAGGATTGGTTCGCGAAGATAGATCTACTTTTCTGTTTGTATCCAACCTTTAGTTGCTCAAACAGTTCATCAATTCTAAACTAAACATTTAAAGTAATTGATCACAAGGTCATTGCATCTCGTTCCTAGAGTACTTCCTTTTTTATTTTTGACCTTTCTAGAAAACTCAACATTGCCCAATAAACGTATTTTCAATGAGGTTGAAGTTTCACATCTGTTAAATTTTTTCTGTGTCTTAGAATGTGCTATTACTTCTTGGACAAAAAATTAATTTTTCCTTCTTTTGTTTCCCCAGCTTTATTTTTATGTGTAAATACATGCATTCTCAAAACATATTTACACTGTATTTTTGCTATTCATTATTTTACGGATCAAATTTAATGTTTACAGAGTAGAGGAGGAATAAATGTAATCAATTTTTGTATAGGAGGAAATTCAATTGTAAACTTGTAGCTCTTTTTTACACCATTTTTTGGCAAATAAATATGTTGTAATGTACTTTATTTTATTTCATATGATGATTGATTTTTTGTATCTTTCCTATGGATTGACTGAAAGCCAGTCAGGTATACCAAAGAGAAGAAAATAAGTTTGTTTCATATCTTCAAATTTCCCTAATCACCTAATTAGTACACATGTAAATAAGAATTTACATTTATGATTTAAAGTAACATCATTCCAGCCGAAGTATCATAAGCGCTATGGGATGTTTTAGCATTTCGGCCGTTTTATTTTTTTACAGAGAAATTGTTGGTTGAATGTATTTGAAAGTTTCACTTAATTTTTTTTTGGCAGCACAAAGAAAATTCAGTGAAATTTTCGGACGGCTTTGTTGAACAATTTCTCCATATAAAAATGAAATGGCGGCAGAAATTTTGAAATGTTGCATGGCGCTTGTGATACTTTGGCCGGAAGGTGACAATGAAGTGTAATGAATGAGATCTCAACCTATTTTGAAAAACTGAGCCATCTTTGGCTTTAAGCCCTCAACTCACGATCAAATGAACTCATCAAATGCAAGATGGCGGGTTCATCAACATTTGACGGCCCGTTAACTTATGATAGCACACTTGAGCGAAAACCAGTCGCCATCTTGCATTTGATGACTATTTGATGAGTTCATTTGATCGTGGGACAAGGGCTTTTGGCCTGTCACCAGATATCCAGTAATTACTATTTTTCCCAGCTTTTGCACATTTTACATGCAGCATCCTGATCCAGTCCGGAGGGGGGGGGGGCATTGGCAACATGCTATCCTGTAGATTTTTGGACCTGAAGTCAGGGTTAGAACAGCAACATGAGCGTCTATGTACAATGATGCAGTGTCCTCACAAGACCAGCGGGCGGATTATTGATTGTTCAAAGCAGCCCGATAAGATATTGTGATGAATTGCATGGATGCATGGTAAAGATAGGCTATGTTCTGTTGTGTCAGGCTGACATAGTTTCAATAATCGGGCCACAAGTCTCATCAGGGTGCGTATTTAACCCAGCAGCGTTGCCTTCTTTACAGTACAAAGGTTTATCCGCCTGATTTTCTAAGGATCTTCCTTGGTGCGAAGATTCACTGTTGCTATTAAACTAAAAAAATAAATGAGAAAAAAGTGTCATGATTTTAGGGCATTTATCTTGGGGCAATGCATCAAGCAAGTGAAAATAATAAATGAGGAAATAATAGAACATATTTTTTATTTATTACATAACTTGCGATTTATCTCAATTTACAAAACAAGGTGAAAGGGAAGAAAAAAAGAAGAAAATTAGAAATAAAAAATAAATTGATAATATTACAGTAATGAATAGTACATGAAGACTTATGATGTTTTCATGTAAAAGTAATGTTTCAATACATAACCGACGTTTACAAATCTGCGACAAGCGGACGTATAAAATACAACAATTCTTATACACAAGACCTGGTATCTTCTAAGAACCCGCTAAAACCCTGGTTAAGCCATCCTAACTACAAGATAGTGATAAATTTGTGAGAACTATCGATAGTTCATGATTATAAATGATTGACAAAAAGATAAAAAGGGCGTCTAACATCAAACTAGTCAGACTCATGATACTAAGGTATAGTTATAATCATATGAAGCTTAGTTCGAATTAAGAAGAAAAATGTAATCAAGTCTTCCAGACATGCAGATCCCAGAGCAAAAGACTAATATAAAGCTTAACGAGATGAAATACAAAACATCGAAATTAGCAGGCTTCAACAATTGTCTATGATTGGTTCCTACTGCATCTTCGAATGATTCGTCAGAATTATTAGACTCTGAAACAGAAAATACCAACATCGATTGGAACAAATGAAGAGATCATCGATGAAACATTAAACAGCAGTCAGATGAAATATTTGAAATTCACAGGGTTACTCTCTTCAGACTTGGCCAAAAAAAAGTGGGGAAAAATAAAATTAACGGAGGCTTATGCCAGTGAAAGGTGTTATCTCTAGGGATTTTCTTCATTTCATTGCACCTCAATACTTTCACTAAAACAGGAATACGAAGTTTCAATTTAGCATCACAAAAGCACAGAGTGAAACAGAGTAAGAGCCACAATTTGGCACCCACTTGAAGTGTCATTTGATTGTGTCACTCACAGCTTATCCAAAAGAAAGATAAATGAGAATTCTGGTTTATTTTGAGCTACCAGCATGAAACTTGGTGAGTGTTATGTAAGTCACCTAAAGCGGACATCAATCAAGACCTAAGCTTTACCTTTTACGGTTTACATGAAATTCGGCAAGAATATACTCGGACACACCTGAAATGAGAAAACATAAAACCAATTGGTCCACTGTTTCATCCTAAATGCAAGGTGCCACGATGGAAATTCATTAGTAGCTGAGTCTCCCTTCTCCAAGATTTTCCTAATTTTTGCGGCCAGATGCATATCTGGCTAGGGGTGTTCAAACGAATTCTTGCCGGAACTCTTTCGATATCGTCTCTTATTGAAACTGGCGGCAGTACCGACAGTGTCGATGATATCGACAACAGCCGGCCTTATCGGATTTTTGAGAGCTCGCACTCAATGCATTGTTGCCCCTTGTGTCGGTTTATCAGATTGCCTGGCGCGGCGGCGCATGAAATGGATGTACATATGGCAACAGCTTAATTTCGCCAGCTCCGAAAACTCTGATCGCTATCAGCAAGAGCGCTCTTATCGTAACTTTTTCTTTACGGAACAGTTTCGGTAGCTTACCGACAACCGATAGAACAGCCCTATATCTGGCAGGAATATCCATGAATAAGATGAGATCAATAAAAATAAGGATCCAATTGCAGTTGGTCATTATACCTGGGCTCCAAACCGCCACCTTAGAAAATAGCAGTCTCGCCTTATTCTTCAGTTCACTTTCCAATTTTCAGGGCCTTTCTATAGTTAACCTCACGAAATTTGGTGAGATCATGAATAAATAGGTTGAGAACTAAAATATTAAGATCAAAGCTCAGTCGGTCTTTTAATTCCACTGTTGGCCTTGTTGCATCCTGGCGAATGACTGCAATTTTGAAAATTAATATCCTAGCAGTGCTTCTTCACAGTTTATTGTATTACTGTAGTTATGTTGTAACCAGACCCAGACACATGACTTTGGCAAGATCATACTTGTAAGTAAATGTACAGGAAAAACACAATAGAAAATCGTATGAGGACAAGTGTATTAATATGAAACATGGTCCGGGGGTGGTTAAACTCAAGCATTTGGCTAATGTGTGGTAAAAAGGTGGTGAAACTCATTTGAAGAGAAGAGAAAGGAATTGAAAAAACTAAAGAGTCTTCAGCAGCACTACGATATAAGACAGCATGTACTGTACTAGTTTATCACAACACAAATGAGTTTATTTCGAAAGCTCATTAAGAAGGTTATGTACAGTTGGAGTTCATGCGAGTGCTCAAGAAAAATAATCATAAACATAAGATTAATTAATCTAAAAAGTACACACCACAACTTGCTTCGAGAGTGTAAATAAATTTTGCGACTGGTCAAAGGACTAAGCATATTCATATCGTACTTGTTGCTTATCAGGAATCTCCGGCAGACATATCAATCTTGGGTCCCATGAGGGTTCTACTGATTTAATCACTGGATCAGTGGGACAGACTAAATTTGATGTATCCAGACTTGCAAAATGAGTTATAGGAGGCATTGAGTGCATCACAGACAGAGGCAAAGCTGACGTGCCATTGAAATGACCAGCATCACCCACAACTCCCTGTGGAAAAACAAGAAAAAATAAATTTTTATATCAAACAATAAATGATACTTACCCATCTTCAAACTAGAATGTCTACTCTACTTATCGCCGAATGGTCTGATTCAGCTAACAAGGGGAGCTTCCCAAGTGTAACCGGAATTTCGAGTTGAAATTTCGCATGAAGATACTGGAGATGATTTTAGGGATGCCGTATTTTTTCGTTTTTTCGAATGGGGTCGGGAAAGCCCTCAAAAAAAGGGCTAAAGATGCGGAAAAAACGCGTGCGCTAGCGGCACAAGGTAAACGTAGGTGATAGAGGCTCTGAATCCTTATCAGTACTGCGTGGCCAAACGGTAGCGCGCTCGCCTCGCAGGCGGGAGGTCCTAGGATCGGATCCTGATTACAGCTCGTAATTTTATTTTACTTAATGCTTGTTTCCTTTTCACTTACTTTATTTTGCACCATTCGCTCCGCAAACCGACTTACGAAGTAGAACAGTAGTGACTGAAGATTTTTTACATAACTATGCTGATAAAAACTCGAAGTTTCTCTTGGATTGAAACGTTATATATTATTGAATAAACAAAACACTCTAAAACCCACCAAATTTCGTTGCCAAGCTGAATTTCCGGAGTATCAGTCGAATCTGTATCTGTATCTGACTGATACTCCGGAAATTCAGCTTGGCAACGAAATTTGGTGGGTTTTAGAGTGTTTTGTTTATTCAATTATATATAACGTTTCAATCCAAGAGAAACTTCGAGTTTTTATCAGCATAGTTATGTAAAAAATCTTCAGTCACTACTGTTCTACTTCGTAAGTCGGTTTGCGGAGCGAATGGTGCAAAATAAAGTAAGTGAAAAAGAAACAAGCATAAAGTAAAATAAAATTACGAGCTGTAATCAGGATCCGATCCTAGGACCTCCCGCCTGCGAGGCGAGCGCGCTACCGTTTGGCCACGCAGTACTGATAAGGGTTCAGAGCCTCTATCACCTACGTTTACCTTGTGCCGCTAACGCACGCGTTTTTTCCGCATCTTTAGCCCTTTTTTTGAGGGCTTTCCCGACCCCATTCGAAAAAACGAAAAAATACGGCATCCCTAAAATCATCTCTAGTATCTTCATGCGAAATTTCAACTCGAAATTCCGGTTACACTTGGGAAGCTCCCCTTGTAAGATAGAGATAAATTTTGGATAAGTTACATGAGTCAATTGGGTCAGTGAGAACGAAAACACACCAACTCGGAAAAATGAAAACAATTAAGACACACACTAAACTGCACAGTAGGTGAAGAAGTTAGTTTAAGAAAAAGATGTTTGCTGCTGAAGACAAGTACTTGTGCCCACTTTAAAGGTCCAAGTTGGAACAGATGCGCTTACTTCAATGACCTTTATGTAAATTAACTGTTTTTCGACTTTTGGGTTTTTGGGGGGTTAGTCAAGGAGAATAAATCCGAAAAAAAGAGGGTTAACCCGGAACAACTTTCTTTGGAACAAACTTTTCCTGTGTAAACGTCTTCAGTAGGTCCTATTGAACAACATACCCAAAGTTTACCATGGTTCGATCCAGGAACCTGAGTTCGCCCTTGAAATTTCAAAAGGCCTCATAAATTTCAATTTTTTTGAAAAATTGATTTATTGGCCCCTTAATTCCTTTTCTTCACTCATGTTCCTAAATTTAATAATAATACATTTTCTTATTGTTCCTCACGCCTGTTTTTTCTTTCTTTCCAATTAGCTAGTCTTGTTACTCTCCTATAAATAATATGGCATCGTAAAACAATTGTGCCCCTCAAAAAAAAGTCATGATTGTGCTATTCTTTTCAGCAGGTAAAATTCTTCTCTAAGATTAGAATAAATAGTATGTACCTAAGTACCTTTCTTTTCTATTGCTCTAAACTTTATTTGCATTTGAATGGTAAATTTCAAGAATTATAGATGAAGAGCCCAGTACTGCAGTGCATTGTATGTTGTATGTAACGTTGGAGTCCATATTTCTGCTGTTTTTTATTTTTTTTGGTTTTTTCTACCGTTTTTTTTTTTTATTTGTTTTTTTTTTACTGAAAATCATTTTCTTCACAGCGAATGCATGAAGTTTAGAGCCAAAAGAATAAGAACAACGAAAAGTAAGGAAGGAATTTTATGATCGTTTTGTCTCAGTTGACCGACAAAAATCTACAGTACCAAAAATCTATGGCACGAATGCGGACAAAACAAACAACGACGGTTGAATCATTTCGATTTTAGCCGTCATTTTGTTGCGTGACGGCAAGAGGGCACGAGATACGACTCCCTAATACTCCCTATGCATATTCGTCTTGTTGTGGCAAGCAGTTGGGCAGAAAAAATTACTAGAATCAAAAAATTACTGAAAATCAAGCTTAGTTTTTAATTTTTCACGATTTCATTGAAATTTCATGAAATTTCAAGTGAAATTTCAAAATCCTAATTTTTCATGAAATTTTCCATCTCAGCCAGGAACACACCCCCCCCCCCATTGCCTAAATTTCAAAATGGCGGCCATCAGAAGGCCTCTGGGAGTTCGATTTTTTTTAAAATACACATACAGTGTCATGTACGGTGTCGATTACTATGTAATTTAGGTCGTAGATTTCAGATATGAAGTCAAAAAAGTCCCCCAGTCAAAAGGGGGTGCCCCAAATCCAAGATGGCAGCCAATTTTGAAAGACAAGAGGGTGGATTTTTAAAAAGTTCGCGTGATAATGCAACTGAGGTATCATTTCTTATGTAATTTTGGTCGTAGATTTCATTTATGAAGTCATAAAATCCCTCACGTTAGAGGAATTGCTCCAAATGTCAAGATGGCGGCCAGATTTGAAAGGCAGGAGGGTGAATTTTTGAAATGTTTACGTGACATCCCTAGTAAAAGTGAATCAACCGGACGTCAGGCTATATTTCATAAACTACCCTCAGTCAGACTAATTCAGGCTGATATCAGTCTGACTTAGGGTAGTTTATGAAACATAGCCTGACGTCCGGTTGATTCACTTTTACTAGGGATGTCATGTAAACATTTCAAAAATTCACCCTCCTGCCTTTCAAATCTGGCCGCCACACAGTGCGTTGAATGGTGATGAAAATCCCCCTAAAAATAAAAGTCGAAATTTTCCAAACATTATGTGGTGAACGTTAAGTGGTATACCTGGCAACACTATTGTCAGCGAAAGTATCGGTTTTTATCGATACCTAGTGCCCGCACAGGTGGTCGTTTTCAGCCAGTTCAGAGCTCCTGATTAGAAGCCGATTGCAGATGACAACAATGAGGAGCATTCTTATCAACAGACCTCAGTGCCATTTTATCCTTCCTGGCAGCTTCATTCCTACTGGTAAGCACTATTTATTTTTGATTTTTCCAATTTTTAAATCCTTTTTTTTGTGGCGAATATGGCATTTTGAAATACTGCTCATTTTTAACCCTTTTTTCCACTTTCATGGAGTGGCAAAAAACAGCACCGTCATGCACCAAACTTTTGTGCACGTGGATATATTCAGTTGTGTGTGTACTTTCAGAAAATCAACGGTTCATCTGCCCGATGTTGCCCATTCGGACGGAAATCATGATTTAATAGGAAAATTTGGCCATTTTTCAGGTGTTTTTGGGCTTTTATTCGACTTTGATTCAGAGTTCACAAATTAACCTTCAATTTTCAAGACATTTGGCACTGACAAAAATAGATAATACTAAAAATGGTGTAAAGAAATGGTAAAATTCATTTTAAAGTATCACATGATGCCAGCTCGCTCTAAAAAATAGCACATTTCTATAATATTTGTATCCATGCATATGTATGCATATATATGAACTAATTCCGATAAAGGAACCTAGTTTCCAAAAATATTGATATGAATATATTGAATCGCATGTAAAATAGGAGAAATTTGAAATTGAAGTAGCTCAGTGTTGCCAAATTTCATGAGAACTTCCATTTTCGCAAGGCTCGTTTTTGCGTTCTTTTGAAGTTTCATGAGGTGGCAAAATAAAAACTATTGACAACTATTGAAAATATTTCAATGTGAACATATCCAGTGATATGTGCACTTTCAAAATATTAAACGTTCAGCTGCCCAAAGCCCCCCGTTTGGATAGACATCATGATCATTCGTAAGAATTTTACCATTATTCGGGTACCAACGTAAAAACGAGCCTTGCGAAAATGGAAGTTTTCATGAAATTCGGCAACACTGAGCTACTCCCCCTGAGCTACTAATTTCAAATTTCCCCTATTTTACATGCGATTTAATATATTCATATCAATATTTTTTTTTTGAAACTAGGTTCATTTAATCGGAATTAGTTCATATATATGCATGGATACAAATATTACAGAAATGTGCTACTTTTTTAGAGCGAGTTGGCATCATGTGATACTTAAAAATAAATTTTACCATTTTTTTACACCATTTTTAGTATTATCTATTTGTGTCTGTGCCAAATGTCTTGAAAATTGAAGGTTAATTTGTGAACTCGAGAGCTTCGAATATGGTGTCTGGGACACCTAGACACGTATCATACTTCAATATGATCAACCGTCGCCTTTGGGCCCAACCTCAAAATCGAACTTTTCCAACTTTTTAGTCCGAAATAGTTGAAAAGTACTGTTTGTGCAACATACAGCATACAGCATATTCGAAGCTCATCACCTGTCGCTTTTGGGCCAAGGTCGAAATCTGAGGTAGAATCCCGAAAAACGCGAAATTTCAGCTATTTTCGGCCACGGAGCCATGTTTAGGCCCCTGTTTCGCAGCCAAAAAACGTGAGTATCGGCTAAACTCGATTATTTCCATCATATATGCACCGTCAACTGCCAAATATCCAAAAATTATCCAATTCCGCGGAGGGGCCGACTTTGGCCCAAATCGCAACCCCTCCATTAAGTTTGTCGCAAGATAGTACGAACCAAGAAGAGCAACTCACCAAATCTTTATGAAATTTCAACAATTTTTGACGGAAATATCGATTTTTGACACTCGTTCCTTAATAATCAATGCACTGTGCGCCATCATGGCATTTGAAGCAATTCCTTTGACTTGAGGGATTTTATGACTTCATAAATGATATCTACGACCAAAATTACATAAGAAATGATACCTCACTTGCATTATCACGCGAACTTTTTAAAAATCCACCCTCTTGTCTTTCAAAATTGGCTGCCATCTTGGATTTAGGGCACCCCCTTTTGACTGGGGGACTATGTGACTTCATATCTGAAATCTACGACCAAAATTACATAGTAATCGACACTGTACATGACACTGTATGGGTATTTTAAAAAAAATCGAACACCCAGAGGCCTTATGATGGCCGCCATTTTGAAATTCAGGCAATTGGGGGGGGGGGGTGTGTTCCGGGATCGAACCGTGGTTAACTTTTGGTATGTTGTTCAATAGGACCTACTGAAGACGTTTACATAGGAAAAGTTTGTTCCGAAGAAAGTTGTTCCGGGTTAAACCTCTTTTTTCGGATTTATTCTCCTTGACTAACCCCCCAAAAACCCGAAAGTCGTGGATTTCAGGATATGAATTTTGGGCAATATGCACGAATAGCTATCTACTGGCACGTGTTTAACTAAAAATGTATAGGATATGCATTTACGAGCCACAAAAACAGCCTAACTTGACTTTTTCGGCGTCTTGACCCGAAATTCCCGCCAAAAAAGCGAAAAATCGCATTTTCTCAATAACTGCCAAACAACAGATTTCGCGGTTTGTCGTTCCGCAATAAGTAGGCCTTCTAGTTGACATTTCCGCAAAAAAATCGCAGGTGATAAGTTGGCCGCATTAAAAGTGTTTAGAACGTACTGTGAATGCTTTCTTTTGCATTATCATCCTTGTTCATTGCTGCCTTCAAAGTTAGGATTTACGTGTCATTATGAGAATAGTGTCTGCGACGCTTACTTACTAGCTACTACCAGGCTGCCATTAAAATAATTGTCGACATATCTTTCAAGGTTAAGTTAGCGCTCTGGTGTTGTAATAATGTTAAAACGTTCAAACAGAAAGGATCTTGGTAAATGCAGCAACAAGAAAATCTGATTGGTACATTAGCTGAACCTTAACTTAACGAATTTGCACGGCTTACCCCATAACCTCCTGCTGATTGATAACGATTAGCTCTTAAGTAAACTCATCAACCACGGATTCCACCACAATATTAATCGTGATGCATTTAAAAGCGATGAGAGCGCAATTCAAGGCCTGTTTTTGACTGCCCAAAATCTCTTGACTTTCAAGTAAGCTTTTCTCCCAGATGCCGTTATCAAAAAAAGTTGAGGAAAAAATAGTAAGCTAAGTTCACTTGATACTTTAAAATGACACAGTGGAACAACAGACTTAACTAACTCATATTCGTACAGTCGAGAAAAACAACCAATGAATTAGCACAGCAATGCCACCACTGAGTTGAACTCAACTATTTCAATCTCCCGCTTAAAGGTAGCCCTGGCAGCTCCGCACATGATGAGTAATCCACAATTTAATCACAACACAGCAGAACACTGCAAACGTACTACTACCAGGTGGCCATGTCCCTCCCCCACCATGACTACTTTAAGGGATAAGACAGGGTACTGAAGTGGCGTGGTCATCCATAGCCACAATGAGGGATTTTTAAGTAGTAGTGGATTCTTAAAACACCGCCCCATCAGGGACTCAGGACTTCGGCGCTGGCAGCGAACTGCCTAACTCCTACACAACCAAGGCAAGCACTCTGTATTAGACTGCTGAAATACGGTTAAAATCTGGAACTGAGTAAACTAAGATGTTTTTGAAATAATTAAACAATGAAAAAAAACGGCATTCTTACTGGAATAGAGTTATCAACAATCGGTTGAATTTCCTCAGTGACAGAAATTCTTGAATACTGTGACGCTGGTCTATAAGACTGCTGCTGCCTCTCGACAATCGGGTTCCACGCTATCTTTTGATCCAATGTCCATTCAGGTTGAGAGTCACATCCAGCCATTTTCCATGCTCTCTCTGTTCCTATTGGTCTTGGTGGCGCTTTACGGTCCTCGACGAGTCCTTGCGGTGATACATGAGGCGGAGTCATGCTGCTAGAGAGGTTGATGTTGCCATTTTCCAGCCCAGTAAAAACATCAGACTGGCTAGGGTTCAGACTTGCAAGAGACGTTAAGTGCTCCTGTTGTGGTCCCACATAGCGTGGCCCAGCTACAAACGGCCAACTCGCTTGGCCATTCAGTCTTGGTTGCTGCGATTGCTGCAAGTATTTATTTACAGAGAACGAAACAACATTGCTATTTAGAACAGTGGAAGGAAGAGGTTGCGGCAAATAGTTGTTTGGAGGAGGAGGTTGGTTATACAGCGGCTGTTGCAAAGGCGCGGGGGGCAACGACTGTTTTACAGAACTGAAATCGGGTGCTCGGGGATTCAGCCTTGACATACTAACAGCCGTTTCTGGTTGGGAATAATTGGTGTGATAGAAATTAGTATCGTTTAAAGAAACCATTTTCAGCAATGAAGTTGGTGAATCTTGTTGGGCAAAATCATCCGAGTACGAAGGTCGAGATGAGTAATTGGATTCGGATCTAACAGTGATATTGGGTGCTTGAATTTGACTTGGAGACGGTTCTGGAATCAAATTAGCATAAGACGTCGGCAGTGGAGGAGGTGGAGGCGAATGGTCAATGCACGGTGGTGGTGGTGGTGCACTTTTGGATTGAAGAACAGGTGAACTCACAGACATGCTTCCACGATAGCCTGGGGCTTTTGAGGCATCCACCTACGAAAAAACAGTTTTTTTCCATTAATGGTACTTAAAAATTGTATTCGAAGTTCTGACAGAAAACCCAACAAAAAAAAATATGTACAAGCATGATACAAAGGAGTGGTATCAAAGATTTTGATGAGCAAAATAATAAGTAATTAATAACACTAGGAAGCAAGGAGACATTTTACATCATTCTTGGGTTTATCTTTTCTCTTGGTGATATGTCACCAGCTACATCAGGAACACAAGTTTTGCCGTTTACTTGCTTTCCAACTCTTTTGGACACCATGTAATAGAGGAATTGATAATCTGCTTAAGGTTTTTTGATACCAATAGCAGAGAAGGGAAAATTATACTTCACTCTCTGGTATTTTGTTCCTTGTCATGCCAGAAAATGCATCAAAAATGCCAAAAGCATAAAAAATATCCTATTTTGATAGGGGTTAAAAAAAATTCAACGAGCACTGTGTGATTGATTCTGTTACTATGGAAGGAATTTAGCTGGATTCTTAGGTTATTTAAGGGTTTAGTAAAGGTTTTTCACTTTTTGTCAAGTAATGACAGGAAATACAGGAAATGCAGTAAATACTCCAAATTTCTCTGTTTGAATAGGAAGCTTTCTAAACACATGATGATGGAAGTGAAATTCCAATATTTTTTTTGGTTTTGAGTATTTGTTGCATTTGCCACCACCTTCCTACAAAAAATGAGGGATCCAATAAAAAAGTAAACTCATTCATTCATCACTTACAATATGGACCTGTGTTCCTGTGGACCTGTGTGTGTGAATTTGTGCTCTAATGTCACGCTGCAAAGTATTAGGAGGCAAAGAACGGCAAAATAAAGGGATTTTTCGCAGTTTTTAGCACTTGCAAGCATAGCACGACTACAAATGACAAGCCAAATGATCAAGTGAGACCCTTTCTATACCTATTGATGATCTTAACTTGTTAGTGATGAATTATTCTGCCTCTAATGCCATAGGAAGGCACTCAAAAGGTCGATAAGAGGCTAGAATAAAATGGAATTGATCATTTAATCATCACTCTTTGAGGGATTTGCTTAGTTGCGCCAAATTCATGATTTACGGGGTCAATTTCCTATGGATGGCTTAAGGGTCGCCGCGTTGTCGCGCTGCTGATAAGTCAAGTGTCACGCTGCTCCATAATATAAAGCTTTTTCATAGCGGTTTCGGTTATTTTTAATGTTACATTTAATATGCATAAATGTACCATACCAAGCTTGAACCATTATGCTTAATGTTCTTTTAATTTTTCACATGTCGGTTAAAAAATCGGACTTCAAGCGTTCCTGTTTTTCTCAGTGAAAGTCACAGGATGTGGATTACGTAACTCACAGCTGAGTTAGTCGTTCGTTTCAGATTATCTTGTGATCATCTCCATGATCAATGACCTTGATACTGAACTGCCCAAGAATCGATCTACAACCTCTAGTTACTATCGACTATCGCGACCGATTCGATTTAAATCGATTGTGAACTACCGATGGTTTGTTTGCCTTCTGATCAGAGATCGGCCGCGAAGTGTGACGTGTATACAAACGTTCGCGCGCTTGTTTTAAATTGTGATTGAAACTGCACGGATTAAATATGGTTGTGATGAACTCACCGCCCACCTCATTACAAATGCAATTATGTAAGAGCCCTTTAAATGATCATCAGAAACTGAGAGCCAGAGTAATCCTAAAACCTGGGAAGGAAAATGTGTCGCCATATAAATTATCTCTCAAACCTCTCTCTTCATCGACAGTTCCCATGAAATCTACAGTTCTTAAAAGGGGAACAATCCCTGCAAATCTTACACCATCGACCTCACACTGCCGACCAAACTACGAAGCACGTAGTCAAAGACCCACTTCAAGGACAGGATTGAAATGTAATCAACCCCGAGCAACAAACAGGGAGCGCAAGAAGACATCAGTATTATTCAAAATAGTTACCACAACACCCTCAACCCAACCTGTGCGACTCTACAACGCAATCAGACATAAGTTTTTGGCAATTAACACCGGGCTCTGAAGCGAACTCCACTTCTGAACTTAACGCTGGTAACCACGAACATCATTTTGACCTCCGACAGCAGAGAGACGCTCTTATAGACGAAATCCTTGCTCTCAAAGAAGTAATCGAAACTCAAACAGAGAATAAAAATTGTTTGACAAATATAAATCTTAAATTAGGGAAAGAAATTAGGTCACTAAGAGAAAAAGATACACGGTCGGAAAAGTGACTCTTGAATAATAAAAAGAAAATAAGGGCCCTAAATCAGCTTAAAGAGTTCAAGTCACGCCAGCCAAGTAAGATGTATGAAACAAACGTAGATGACTTTAGCCTTACAATACCTTCATTTTCAAAAAATGTAGGTCTGTTATAAGATCTGAAATCGTCAATAGAAAAATTACAATAGAAGAATCTAAAGCTGAGGCTCTTTCAAGGATGAAATCTACAAAATAAATTTCTATCAGAGATAGTCATTTAAAAGGAGTCAGTGCCGCACTAGTTAGAGAAAATAACAACTGGGATGTTCAGGGGCAATGAAAACAGGGGCCACTACAAAATTCATCCTCCAAGGTTTGAAATTTGACACACCACCTGCACCTGCTAATATTGTTTTATCAGTGGGTGAAAGTGACATGTATGAAGGAAATATGCTGAAGGCAATAGAGGAAGTTGAAAAATTCATACAAAGACATAGAAATTTTAAATTAAACCTATTAGCTGTTCCATACCGATTACATTATGGCTCAAATGATTATGTGAGCTGAGAAATCTACGATACTAATTCAAAGTTTTGTGAATTTAGCCATAAGTATGAACATTGTTACTTTATTACCACACTAGAGGAGAAAAGAAAATTTTATCAAAGAGATGGAATACACCTGAATAGACTACGAAAAAAATTGCTTGTAAATAGGATTAAAAAGGTAATACATGTGGGCCATGGAACAACAAGAGAAGTGAAAGAGGTTATGAAAAATTCTGATCCGAATAACAATTTAAATAGACCAATTGAAGTAATTATTTCTTACAAACAAAGAAAACCTGTACAAAAATCAGTACTTTCAAAGTAGCTCCATAAAAACTCGGAAGCACTTTTTCTCAGCAAATGCTCATTGACTCAAGGAGTACTCAGCGACTTAACATACGATTATTTCCTATAGAAAAACTACAACCCCCTCAGAGGGGTGAATCGGAATAATAACATTAATGTCTTATCAAGATGTGAATGTAACTTAAATTTAAACTGCTAGGCTCTGACATTCCCACATTTTCAAAAGTGGATGATCTATCTTAAAAGACTCCAATTACCGCCAGACATATTAGGGAACTTCAATCCTCAACACTCAATATCTCTGTCCCCGATATTCAATCAGAAAATAAAAATTGTAATGTAGAAAATGAGTTACTGTTGTACCACCTACATATCAGAAGTTTGAATAATAAAACATATTCGTTATGGGAAGAGGTGAAAAACCTCCCACCATTGGACATAATTTGTCACACAGAGCATTGATTAACAAATGACAAGTTTGTAAACCTTCAGGGCTATATCCTACGTTCAAAATTTAATAGTAGAGAGAAAGGTGGTGGAGGAGTATGCATCTACGCCAAAGAAGGAGCCACAACCACGAAGTATGATCTATGATTCTGAGCAATGGAACCAATTTTTGAAGTATGTGCAATTAAAATTTTGAGCCTCAAAAATGTTCAACTTAATAAGCTATTAGTAATAGTAACAATTTATCGAGCACCAGAATCTGATGTAAACAAGTTTTTTCCCAAATTTGAGGCAATGCTTGAAAATTTATGGAAAATAAATCTTTTTTTTTTTTAAATAGTAGGCGACTTTAACATCCACATGCACGATTGTAATTGTTAAAGTAATACAAGGCTCAGGAATCTGCTCTCCTCATACGGCTACAACCTACTGCTAAATCATGCTTTCATGATGAAGAGGCAAAACGAAAAACACGTATCACAAATAAAGCAATTAAAAAGAGTCAAGTCATTGACTCCACCCTCTCTAACTCGACGGTTGAGGGTGAATTAGAGAGCAGAATATCAAAAAAAGGTTGTTTAGCAGAGAAGGAAAGCAAGTGTTATATGAATCTATTTGTAAATTCTATCAGATGCAAATTTTGGAAATTATCCGTACAGAAGCCACTAGTAGCACAGACTTTTTTCAGAAAACCTTTCGAGAAATATATGAAAACTGCTTCCCTATAGTGCCCACCAAAATAAGTAAGACAAATACAAAGTGCACACCTCTGTAATAAAGAAGTAAATAAACTAAGCATAGAAAGTTAGAAAAACTACACTAATTTTTTTAGACACAGGATCTAGTGCCCACAAGAAAAAAGTGAACAGACTAAATAAGCAAATTAAGGCGAAACTTTCAGAATTGAGAAGAGTGGACATAGCAAAAAGCATGGAGAAAGCCCCACCTGCTCAAAAATCAAAAAACATCTGGACCATAATTAAAACAAGCAGTAACTCCAGCGCACTGCCGCTGGAGAGCAGCTCTGGGCCACTCATATCCAAAACATTTATAAACTACTAGCCGTGTTCATCTCGCTGTGCGAGCTGTCACGCCTAGCCGGGGAGTGCATCTGGACCCCCAGTTCTCGCTTTGCGATGAACTTGCGACTCGTTCCATGAGCCGCCCCTCATAGCTATTAACTTTTAAAAGAACGAATTTACTTTTTTTTAACGATGTATGGTGAATAGTGGCGAATATGTTATCTTTGTCCTCATCCACAATCAGCAGACTTAGCATTTTAAGCCAGGGCCGCCATCTTGGATTTTGAAAATCTGACCGAAAATTCGAGTTTCCCGTTGAAAAATACCTCCGGATTCCGAGTTTCACGAAAATCGATCAAACAGGAGCAGACTTAGCATTTTAGGCCACGGCCGCCATCTTGGATTTTGAAAATCTGACCAAAAATTCGAATTTCCCGTTGAAAAACGCCTCCGGATACAGAGTTCCACGAAA